AAATAAAAATAATTATATAAAGACAAAAATTCTTCGTTTTAATTATTATTTTTTATAAGGAATTATATTTATTCTTTTTTTTTTTAGTTCGAATTATATTGATTATTATTGTTTGATAAGATTGTCATTACAAGGTCTTTTTCCCTAAATATAATGCTTTGAAAATTTCAATTTTACCTTTAATTTATTAGAAAAATATCAATAACTAAATTGATAATTATTTAAAAGAATGGAGATATTTAGCATTTTCTTTCTTCCGATGATAATACAACATAAATATAGGAGTGATAATGTGAATATAGTTTAAATGTTATTTTGGGTGGTTGTATTCTCAGCTTTCGGTTTAGGTGTATTTTTAAAATGTCTATTGTGATCGTTGTATTTTCAGTTGTGATCGTTGTATTTTCAGCTTTTGAAGATGAAAAGCTTTGGCGCATAGCCCTCACGGTTTTACTTTTGGTTCTATCCAAAATACTTCATACCAATGGACATAATTGTCATATCTTACATAACTATGATCATCTCCTCCCCAAATCAACGTAAGACTTTGTTTGCATTTCGTTTATAAACCCAACAATCCTCCCTCAAACAAAGTACCAACGAGTCTCTCCTTAAGTAGCCACTAATTCGTACTCTCGGAGACCAGAACGAGAGCTCGCTCTTATCTAAGGTTTCCGCCACACCTTGATAGAGCACACCCACAGATTCCACCATGACTACACCTTCCAAGACTCACCACTTATTTGTTCGACACTCGAGGATTTCATCAACATAGCTAGGTTTAGATCATGGCTCTAATACAACGATATTCTAAGTACCCCGAGTATCTCTACAATTGTATAATATTGTTCGCTTTTGGCATAACCCTCATGGATTTGCTTTTGGTTTCACCCAAAAGGTCTCATTTCCTAATCAATATGGGACTTTGTTTGCATTTCCTTTACAACCCTAATAATTGGTAAGTACGATGAAAAATTTAGTATTCCAACTACATGCATGGGAAATAATGACTTTCTCCCTTTTCTATATTGTAACTTTAAACATGATTAAATTATTAGTAACTTTAAACATGATTAAATTATTAGTGAATCCAAAAATTTAAGTTAAAAGGGTTAAAAGTAAATTTGTATAACTAAAAAACATATCACCAAACCCAACAAAGCATAAATCAATATTAAATGCATATAAGATCTTATAACATCTCAAACATGATTAAATCATTGATGAATTTAAAAGTTTTTTTTAATACATTAACCTAAAAACTTAAGCTCAAGAGTTAGGATAAAAATTTAGTCATTTATAAGATACCTAACAAAAGTATCATAAAATCCAACAAAGTGAAAATCAATATTAAATGACGAGGAAATGACAACTCGTGGGTTTAAACATAGGACCTCCTGTTATGATATCGTCTTAAGCATATTTATTTTTTTTAAGTAAATGTCTTAAACATGATTAAATCATTGATAAATCAATTTAATCATTTATAGGATGTGTAACGTAAATATCATATCTGATTGTATTTTATGACTTGTATTTGAGTCTTCTTTCTTTTTCTTTTTCTTTTTTTTTTTTCAGATCAAATGAAAATAAACCTAAAACTAACCACGAGAGATTTAACCATCGACTTTTAGGACGGTAGATGTTATCCTATGTTTGGATCGAAGACTTTCTTGACTTATTTAAATTATATTATGATACTTTAATTTCAATGTTCATTATAAATTGGTTTGTAAACTTTAAAACATCAAATCTTCAGGTGGAACTCTTGTACCCTTAATTTGTTGTATTAAAAAAAACATTATGTTTTCAAATAACAGCAAAATATAATTATTCACATGAGATTTCTAAAGAGACTGTACTTCATAGAACTGAATTTTGATTTTGTTGTATATTTGTGTAGTTGATTAAATCTCTAGTAGTTATCCTCTAATTATTTTTCTCAACTTTAAAGATTGAATTATTTTTCTTGAACTTGGATCGAGGTTCTGGTGCTTCGAAATTCTTCAAGTCTTCAAAGAGGAAGAACCTTCAATTTGCTATATGAATTCTCCAACTTCTCAACCTTTTAAAATGAGTAGACTCCTCTACCCCACAAGCTTTGGTGGGATTTCGGTTTGTGTGATTTTAGACCCAACTCATGGATTTGGACTCTATTTGAGTCATAAGTCTAATTTAATTTCACATAGTCTAGGTTTATGTGATTTTTTGACCCATTCCCTAAATCTAGGCCTGTGATTTTGGACCAAACTCAATTATTTAAGTGTATTTATACTTATTCAAATTTGGTAAAGTTCTATTATCAATCCACTGCAATGATCTTATTGGTAATTTGGACTTTGGGTCAAATTACCCTCCAATGTTTTTTGGGAAATTTAAGTGGATGGCTAAATTTTGCCACCCGTTTTAAAAAATATCTATTAGTTTTGAAGTGGATGGCTCCAATCCCGATGACCATGAAAGACATGTGACATTATTTGAAAATTACTAATTTATTGTCTTTAATTTTAAAATTTAAATACCATTTTGGACCTTACGTACTCTTAGTTTTGGTTCATTTTGGTTTATTTTGATTATTGTAATTTCAAAATGTTCTTTTTTCTCCGTATACTTTCAATTTTCATTCATTCTAGTCTCTTTACTTTCAAATTGTTCGTTTTAGTCCGTGTTCAAGTTTAAAAATTAAACATTTAAACTTTCGTAAGTTCAAGTTTCCCTACTCAAAAAACTGAATCTATTTTAGGGATGCAATCTTATCACTAATAAACGTTTAAGGTTTTAATAGGAATCTAATTTTTTCATTTATGAACTCAAATTTTTATAATTAAAACTTTAGACGTGTAATTGTAATTACTTACCATACTTTAGGGGTGATTTGTGTAATTTTAAAGTTTGCAGAATATATCCAACTTTTGAAAACTAAAAAAAAAATATTTATTTTGTTTTTCAAGTTTGGCTAACTAGTCAAACACATTTTTGGAAGAACGTGAAAAACCTATCAAACTTGTACGATATCCCACTCTCATAGTTGGAGATATATGCTAATTACCGTTGAGCTATGCTTATTTTGACAATTTTACACGATTTGAAAATATAAAAAAACTATAATTTAATTTCAAACGAGACTTCATTTGAGTCATTGTAGCTTGACTTTAGTTTAATTTAATTGATACGATTCCAATTTAATTTGATATTGGTTCTCATTTGAACTTCTTGACTTTGAGAGAAAAAATATATACCTTTATTAAACTAAATTGTGCTCGTATTGACAACCAGATAAGTTAAATATCAAAGATTAGAATATTAATCATAGATAGAAAATGTATCATGTATTCTACGCCATGACAAGTTGCAATGACAGGGATGGGTTGTGAGGTTAAACCCACCCATCCAAAAAGCCACGCAATTCCTTTTACTTTCTAACAGTTGGCCAAATATGAAACACAAGCTTATTGCACGTAAATGTACAACTTTTTACATATTTATTACGGCAATGGTATGCATATAACATTTGTGACTTTTTCTTGGTACAATATGAAGTTGGGAGATTCAAACTCATGATCTATTCATCAAAGATATGTGTAAATTACAGTTGAACTAAATTATGTTAGCAACATTTGTGAGATATGTACCTAGCAAAGGATGCCACATATTTACCTCATTTTATATCCAGATATATACTAATCAACAAGAGTATAACTAAGTCAAAACGAATATAGTTCAACGGTAATTGACATATATCTCCAATCGAGTATAACTAAATTGATTATGACATATATCATGAACAAAAAAAATTAGAGATTTGTTGAAAAGAATTTGAAGTTCGAATTATCATCCCACATGTTATTTAACGAAACATAAAAAAACAATATCAAGCAAAAAATTATCAATTAAAATCTAAGGTTTTGAAATTTTAATTTATCTAAATTCAAACTTAAATTCCAATTGACCTAAAAAATAGGACTTCATAACCAAAAAAAAAAATCTAAAAGTCCAAATTTTAAAAGGTGGGAAGAAAACTAAAGGCATAGATTAACTTTAAAGTAATTTAGCTTGAAAACGAGAGACGTTAGGATATTGATTTGATTCTACAATCGAAGATTTATATTTTTGATCAACTGAGTTATGTTCATGTTGATAATTATCGATTCTTTACCCCGACAAATAATAAATGTACCGCATCTCGAATATGATAAATATTTGTAATGGTAGGAATAATTGGTGAGACTTGGAATCATGGGGTTAAATTGGTAATTTTGAAGTGAAGGAAAACGAAAAGAAAAAAAAAAGGAAGGTAAGTAAACTAAATTGGAATATGACAAGAGAGCATCGAAAGGCGAAAAAATGCACAAACGCAAAAACTTGACTGGATTAATTGGAATTTGGAATAAACTTTAAAATTTATATACGCGAAAAAAATTAGGCAATAGCGTTGATCCGGTAAAGGAATTACATAACTAGAGCCAATGGATAGATGACACGTAGACAGCGGAGGAGCTAATACCGCTGCAACTCTAGTGTCTTACTACACGCTAATAAATCTCCCATATAAAATATCTTTCTAGAATCGAACCGCCTTCACTGCCTGCAAATAACGCGAATCTCTCTCTCTTCCTTTCTCTCTCATCCCAATCGAAACCGAAACCGAACTGCGATTGCGAACAAATTTTTAATCATTCATTCATTCACAACAAAAGGGATCCGAAAAAAACAACACGAATCACACTAATTTCAGACCCCAATCCTGGTTACGCCTCATCTTTTCCTCGCATATACCCGTGCAGGCGAGGAGTTTGGACCAGGATTTCTGGATTAGGGTTAGGGTTAGGGTTTGTTTTTGTCCTTTTATCTACATAGTGCGTGCATGCGAGGGTCTGGATCACATGTATGGCAGTGTTGTTATCTGGATAGTGTGGAATTTGGGGCTTTGACCATGGAGCGCGCCAGAGGTGGGTTAATTCTTGGTTATTGTTGGTGATGACTAGAGACCGATGTCTCCTGGGAAAGAAGATGATGGGTAGGGGTGCGGACGGAGGCTGTGGTACTGAGGAGAGGCCTTGCCCACTGTCTAGAGTGCCCAACAGAATACCGTTGACCCAAACTCAAGCACAAGAGGAGAAGCTTTGTACTGTGAACATTGATTATTACGCGCAGGCTCAAAAGGCGTTGTGCGAGCGCTCGCCATTTGATGTTGCGGAAGAGACTTCAGCTTCTTGTGTGCCTACTTTGCCCAGTAGGCTGGGGAGCTTTTTGGTTAGACATTCGGATGGTAAGAAACGGCAGCGGAAATCGAATTCCGGGGCAGACAAGAAGTCTTCTCGGCAAGGTGAAAGGTCGCGTGGCTCCAACATTTGGGTTGAGACCGAGGAATATTTTAGAGACTTGGCGTTGCCTGATGTAGACACTTTGCGTGCAGCGTCTTCCTTTAGCAGTTTAGTGGCTAGGAAGTGTTTTACAATTCCGTCTTTGGGAAATGTTCCAGAAGCAAATGTAGGTGGCAGTGAGAATGTTAGTGATCAGAATATGGATGGGGTCGTTGTTAAAGACGAGGTTGTGGATGATCGTTTGTGCTCGGAAATGAGCATGGCTGAAGCCAATGGTTCACCTCCGGAAGACAAGGGTTGTTTGAATTTGGATTCTTCTCGCGGATTAGAATGGCTCTTAGGTTGTAGGAATAAGGTGTCTTTAACTTCGGAGCGGCCTTCGAAGAAACGGAAGCTTCTAGGTGGCGACGCAGGGTTGGAAAAAGTTCTGATTGCTTCTCCTTGCGAAGGAAATTCATCTCTATGCCACTTTTGCTCGAAGGGTGATACGGACAAAGGGTTAAATCCGTTAATCACTTGTAGTTGTTGTCATGTGGTGGTTCACCATAAGTGCTATGGCATAAGAGAAAAAGTTATTGGATCCTGGTTGTGTTCTTGGTGTAAGCAGAAGGATAAAACCAATGATTCCACGAAGCCTTGTTTGCTCTGTCCCAAGCAGGGTGGTGCTCTGAAACCTGTACATAAGAACGTCAACAGTGGATTTTCTGTCGAATTTGCTCATTTGTTTTGTTGTCAGTGGATGCCAGAGGTATATATAGAGGACTTGACGCAGATGGGGCCCGTTATGAATATGGGAGGTATAAAAGAAACTCGGAAGAAGTTAGTATGTAACATATGCAAGGTCAAGTATGGAGCCTGTCTTCGGTGCAGCCATGGTATGTTCATTGTTCCATTATTATATGCCATTCTCCTTTTCTGTTTGGATGATGCATCGGAAGCACATTCTACGTGGCTACTAGCGGTCGTCAGATTTTGGTTCATTTTTTGCTGTTAACTTGTATGAACTGGGTAGATTACTTTTATGCTTTCAAGTAGAAAGGCATGTTTTTGGCTTGTTTGTTAAAGTCCTTTGTACAAAGTATTTAGAAGTTGGTCGAAATCTGAAATCAATGAACAATTATTTTCTACTACTCTTGAGGTTCGATTTCATGTTCCTGGGCTGCGTTCTCTCTCTCTCTCTCTCTCTCTCTCTCTCCATTCCTCCCTCCTCTCTCTCCCAACATAACTTTGCTTTCTGACTTCTTTGGAAGGTTAGTTGTTGAATTACTACCATATTGAGATATAAGAAGTGGTATTAAGAGAGGGGTCATCCATACTTGTTATATTAACTTTATCGTCTATCTATTCTCCAAAAGATGCGAGCAGTATAATAGCCATCAGGATATATTGTTGGTTGTAATTAATTATCATTTAGTTTATTCTTAAGAGAGGGTCTCATTTAAACAAACATGCTGACTTGAGGCGTTATCATGACTAAACAGTTTCTTCTTTCATGCTTTGTCTATTATTCAGACCGATAGCTAGAGGGCAGATTTCTTATCTGAGGATGTTGGTGGTTCCTGATTTGATAAAAAGGAAAAAATCTCTAGGAATTTCTTGATATTTATAGGTCGTGCATTCCAACTTATAAACCTCTTATTGGAACTCTAAAGTATCGAGTAAACACAGCTTTTTTTTTTATGGATGGAAAATATTGTATAACTCAAAAAGCATATAAAAGAGTTGCGATGATTAAGTTCTCTCCCAAGAAAGATAAAAAAGACTCCAATTGGCTTGAATCAAGAATATTGGATCTTATGTAACCGTTCTATGGAAGCTTGTCAACTAAAGAAATTAGACCAAATTAGATTCCATACCTTCCATACCCTTTTCTTTTGTCTAGGAATTCTATGATTTTTATCTCCCAATCTCTAACAAGATAGTCATTTAACAAACTATTCTAGAGGATTTTTGTCTTGTTTCTGGAAGGGTGCGCCCAAGCTAGTGGAAGGAAGAAGTCCTCAAGTCTTTTAGAAGCACACCATGAAAAATTGCTTTGTAAAAGTCTTCAAGGGGCAAATTGAATTTTATCAAATAAGTGCTGGATGGCTTCACTGAACTTTTTACAAACAACATAAATCACACGACGAGTATTGGAAATCTTTTATCGTTTTATTGATATTGAGGATATGGATTTTGATATTGCTTAGTTGACCAAGCAGGCACCGGCTTTAATGAAGGTTCTTTGTATACTTGATTATAACCAGGCAGGCATGCACCTGAATTTCCATAGGGATCTACTCCCAATGAATTTATGGGGGGTGTTTGGACTTGTGGAGATACCTTTGATCATAAATTTAAAGATGGATTTTACAGAGTTCCATGGTGTTCTAGTGTTCATGTATTGGTTAGGAATATTATTTCTGACCTAAAAAGGATGGAAAGCCCATTCTTCAACCTTTGTTGTTTTTGCTAAGGGATCGTCTGAACTTTAGGTACCGAGTGGTGTAGTGCCGGTTAGACACTGCTTTAGTTCTATGATGTTGACTTACTCTTCAACGGCATAAAGATTAGTGACATTTCAACTTGGGCAGTTGCAATCTCATCAAACTATTTCCAAATTCTACTTCTTCTTTGAAGTAAAAGAGGATCTTTCTAGTGTTAGCAATATCCAAGCCCATCCTGCTCTTTAGGCAAAGCTCACAGGACCACTTATTCCAATGGGAACCCTTCTCCAACTAAACATGTTCCAAGAAATTCTCTCATAATTCATTTTGCATCCTATTCAAGAGTATTTTCTGAAGTCTTGGGGTCTTCTGAATAATCATGATTCTGTTGAAACTTGAAAGCGTTTTAGTAGTTGTATTTATCAGCTGAAGGTACGATAGCTGGATGAATAGGTTTGAAGAAAATAGTTATGCATCACTATTCACTACTACTCTTAATATTATAGCAGCTACCATTAACTGTGGAGATGACCTGATTGTAAATTTTCCCTAGTTACGAGCAAGGTGGCTAGAGAAATGATTGGCATCTACCAAAAATTTCATAGATGTAGTGTTTAAAATTAATTAGAAGGAACGTATTACTTTTTAAGGTTTTAGAAAATCTATTTGCGTCTGGATCTCTCTGTATATAAATTAGAAAGTTTATCCTTCTAAGGTTTTTAATTCATTGACAGTCATTTCATTTGAAAACAGACCATAATTGGCATGCAGAGGTGGAAGTTATCATTGTCATGGAATTTAAGAGGCCATTCTCGTTTGTATCCATTGATAATATGCACAGTAAAGTAGCATGGGTGCCTCCCCTTATTTATTTGCTTTGCTCTTTCCCATTTTTATATAGCATCCAAAGTGAAAACGATAACAGGAGTTTGAGGATGAGAAATTCTCTTAGAACACCAAATATTTTACATGAAAAATGTCCATCTAAATTACATTGGAAATTCCAAAGTTTAAGGGGGCGTTTGACCTGTAGGAATAAGAATATGAATGTAAACCTGAGACTATGATGCCTATAAATTGAATAACCATGTTTGGTAGGTCATGTTAGTACAAAGATCTTAAAATGAGTCTTAAATTATAAAATTATTAATTAATTGTACACAGTTAAATTAAATTTGTTAACAATATTTTGTTTCATAAGTTACTTCATACTAAATTTAAAATTAATTATTTATAATTAAAGACAAATAGTTAAAATCAAATAAATTAAATTGAATTTTATATTAACAATTTTCACGGGTTTATGAGGCTAATGTTTAAGTTTAATAATAACATTGGTTTAGGTTGCCCATTCTCCCCTCTATGTTACTGCATACCGCATACCAAACAGCCCCTAATGGTTTTACATAATACTGATCAGCCATAAATTCCCGAGTGGCAACTGTTTGTGGCCTCCCTTACCAATCTTAAGACAATGTGATTTAGTGCAATTTGGTGAAATCTATCCCTGGTTTACTTGGTTTAGAAAAATGAACAAAAAGAGATTTTGAGGACAAAATTGATGATTTTGGATCCGGCATTCAGGGGAAATTTGGGAGTTAGATAGTTTTTATTATTATTTTTTATGTTCTTCTCGCATACAGTTTCAAACTCTCTTGTTAGTACACCACCTTTTTAGTTAATTTAATTTGGACTATTTTTTAGGTTTGGCGGATACTCCATCCTCCGGTCTTTATGACACAATCAATAATTCGCTTCATTTTCAATTAGGCCTTGCTTCCCCATTTGTAGTTTTTCTTAGGTAGTTTTCTTATCAAGGAAAATAAGTCCCAAGACATTTTCCTGTTACTTTTCCTAAGAGAAATTGCCTGTTCTTTTCTCTCATCAAATTATCCAAGATTATATGAAACTGCCAGCCGCTTCAAAAAGGCCGTTCTCTTTTTACTGGTAAGTAGCAATTCCCCCAAAAAGGTTCTAGCAAAGAATATTCCCCTTCAGAATCCTCTCTCTGTGAATTGTGATAGGCCAGACTTTTCTCATACTTGGTCAAGATGTACTTTGCCCTTTCAGATTGGAGATTTATATATATTATATTTCTATTTGTATGCTAATCTTCATTATGTATTTGTTCTGTGGAGTTTACGGTCATGTTCTCCATCCGTACATATTGGAGAATAGGAGCTCTCTCTGTCTTGGATGATTTAAATGTCACGTTATTATTGGCTTCATATGCTTAACCTTTGGTGTATTATGATGGTTTATTATCTAATTTCCTCTATTGTTTGGGGACGACTTTTAATATTTGGAACTGTAGTCTCTCCATGTCTATGAACAATCGGAAATCTATTATGTAGTCCTTTTTGGGTGGGGTTTTCCTCTACCCCCCAGCCACTAGTTGTTTTTGCCTTTTTGTTGATACAGGTTTCTTATCCAAAAAAAAAAAAAAATTGGAACTGCTCTACCATCTGTGGTTTTTGATTTTTATGTTTCTTCATTCCGTCCAATCCTTTTGAGTTCTCTCCTACTATTTATTAATAGTTATCTTGCCTGGGTGATTGCTCTCAGGAACTTGCAGAACCTCCTTTCATCCAATTTGTGCAAGGGAGGCTAAACATAGAATGGAAGTCTGGGCAAAATATGGGTGTGATAATGTAAGTGTGAATTATTCCCATCCCATTCTATACTTTAGTCTGTCTGATAACAATTTCAACCGTGACTGTAAAATTCGACTCAATCACATCTTTTTTATTTTTTATTTTTTCTTTCTTTTATGTATCAAGAAGCCCTTTGTACTGTCTAAAAGAGTACACCTTTCAAAGATCTAAGCTTGCTTCTATCAGGTTGAGCTTCGAGCTTTCTGCTCAAAGCACTCAGAAACACGAGATTTTAGGAGCAGTGGCCAAGTTCAAGACACTTCTGAAGCTGTTAACTGTAACTCATATGTGGTCAACCACCTTCCAGTGACATTGTCAGTTAACAGACCGCAGAAATTAGTTGGGAGAAGGAACATTGATAATCTTTTACTCTGTAAGGAAGCTTCTGATACGAACTCTGGAAAATTGGGCGATGGTGAATTAGAAGATATAGGATCCACGGATCTAAGTTTAAATGCTGATTCTGTTGGTACACACAAGTCTACTATCCAGGGGGTTGAGGATGTCAACCCACTTGACTCCCTTAAATTTGCATCGATTATGAAAAAGGCAAGCTTGCAAGTTTCTATTTCGTTTTGATATTAAATCTTTCTTTTCTAGGGTTGTCTTACTTAAACTGTATGTCTACCTTCTTGCAGTTGATTGATCAAGGAAAAGTCAATGTTAAAGATGTAGCCTCAGAAATTGGCATACCGCCTGATCTATTAAGTGCAAAACTTACAGTAATGCCTGTGATTATTCAATTTTAAAGAAGTTTTTCTCCATGTAAAATAAAATCCTGTGCTTTGCTTACATTATCGTTTCTTCATTCTGTAGGCTGACAACCTTGTCCCTGACTTGAAATCTAAAATTGTCAGATGGCTAAAAAATCATGCTTATATTGGTGCCCTGCAAAAAAATTTGAGAGTCAAACTTAAATCGGCTGTTTTGTCCAAGGCTGTTGTTGGAGCTGCTGATCGTTCTGACTCTTTATCAGTTCCTGAATCTGAAAATTCAGATCTTATTGCTGATAAATTGGTTAAAACTCGACGAAAAACTAAAAGCAATATGAGCCATCTGAAGAATGATGAAATCAAATGTTCATCTGAAGAGACTTTAGGTGGTGGTCTAGCAATGCATAGTGATTCCTTGGATCAGCAAGATAGTGAAGAACCGGGTGATTCAAATAAGGAATGTATCCAAGACTCTAGTGAAAAGGTTGAGCACGTTATCTTTATTATTGTTATTTTTCGCCATTCTTTCTTTGGGCAGCAGATCTTCTGATTTTCCCTATGGAATCCAAATGATGAGTAGTACCATTACGCTTTTATTCCACTCTCCTCTGCATGGTTCCTTTGATTTCTTGACTGGTGAACTTGTAAAGTATCCTCAGTTATTGGAAAAAGTAACAAAATAACGTTCTTTTTCTATCGAGGTGGTTGCAATTGATGGATTTCATTACATCAATGTAAAATCGATGGGAACTCTTGTTCTCATCTGTCCCTATGTTCATTGTTTATTTTCTACTTTTTTAGGCCTGCTAAGATAACACTTTAATGTGCTGATTTAAGGAAAGGTTATGTATAATCATTCCCTTATTGTTTGTCATGACCCCATTTCTCTTGCTTCGCTGTTCTCTTCTTTCATTTTATGGCCAGTATTAACTGGTTCAATACAATCACGTAGGTAGGTTGATAAGGGCAGTGTGTTGAGGAGGGTAGACTCTCTATGCGATTATGAATATGTTGGTATTTGCCTGAGTTAAACGTGGTGCTTGTGGTATTTTCATTATCTTTAATTTTTTTTTGGAGTGGCTTGATATGAAGAGAATCATGGTATAGGGGCTGCTGAAAGTGTTCACTACGTATTACATACATGTTTGAACCCGTTGGTCGTCAAGAGATCGGGGATTCTCTGAGTACTAAAATTTGTAGTTAAAAATCTCTTGACTAGTTTAGGGTACTAAAATTTGTAGTTAAAAATCTCTTGACTAGTTTAACATTTGCATTACACTTTTGCTGGATCTTCACAATATCACGTCGTTCTTTCTTATATGTTCTGTTTGTTCACCAGTCTTTTGGACTGGTTTTGGCATCCTTGTCTTGGAAATGGGTCGAAGTTGGGGATTCTGGCCAGTTAACTGAAGCTTGACGTTTCCATTGTCTGAATGTGGATGAAGATGACGTTTATGATTTATATGAATTGGGAAGTCTAAAGTGATCTGAGATGTTTTCCTTTCTCTTCCGAAAGCTAATGTTTCATGGTTTCTCTATCCAATGCTTAGCTATCTGCCATCATCTCCTTGGGTGTAGTTTAATCTGTTGTCATACGTCACTATCCTATCCCTCAAACTAAACTTTTCTATCCTAACCAATTTACCCTTGAAGCCATATGGGCCTTGAGGTGGAAGTGGGGAACTAAGCCTGGTTGAATACTTCTCTCCCATGTTGCTTCCTCCATAGTCATAACATCCCATTAGGTTATTACTTCGTGCAGCTTCTTGTTTTTTGGATTGGAGCAAACCCCTAGAGCTGCCTTAGGTTCAGTGATCAAGTATAAGGAGGAATCCAAGTGGGATGGTAATGGTAGGGGATGAGAACTCTTTCCTTCAGCCAGAATTGAGAAACATGGAACATTATGTATATTAAAGCAAAAATTGGCCGACTATAGATTGCCTGCATAATAATCATCTGGTATACAGTTTGAGGGTTTTCAATAACTTCCCAGAATTATATGTAGGAATGCTGTGTGTTTATGTTGTATCTTATTGACGTCTCTTCTTGCTGCTGCTTATATTTTGAACATCTGACTAAAGATGGCATGCACTTGCACATTTCTTTCTTCCTTCAAATTTCCTGAGTCACTTTAGTTCCCGATTTTTCCATTTTAGTTTGTGGTTTTTTCCCTTTCCCCTTTAACTGGAGTGATTTTGTTTCAACCGTGCAGCATTTGAACGAGCATGATAATTCTCGAGATTCTTCTTCAAGGATTTTCCCAAATGATGTAGGTATGTTATGAAGTTTATGATTGATTCTTCTCTATATGTTTCCAGCTTGACCGTCTCTTTTTTTCCCTCTGTATTTCTTTCATTGACTCTGGATAAGTTATTTCCTTATAGGAAAACAATGATAAGTCTACAAGTAACTTATTTCTGTTACTCTCTACGACACCAGTGTTTTCTTGACTAAGTTGTGAAATGTTTTTGATGAAATTAAGATTACATTCTTATTGATTATGATCTAAAACCACATCTAAGATTGAATTATTCTTAACTAACAGTATGATATTTTTTATAAAATGGGTGGTGCTAATGATAGTGTCCGCACTTTCTTGTTAGAAGTAACGGGTTACTTTTGAAGACTTGGAATGGAGGTCACATCTTCCATCCTTTTTCTAAGAGGTCCCTATTATAATATTGCAAGCTCCTAAAGATGTTGGCTAAACACTATTTTTATAGTTCAAATCAATATTTTTCCTTTGTTTCTTTTTTTTTTTTTTGGACTGAAAAATCTTCTGGGCTTTTTACAGTCTTGGTTCGATCATTCTTTTTTAAGTAATTCATTGGATGTTTTAATTGCTTTAATGGATCTTCAAATATTAAACATCTACTTATGAACGTGTTGGATCCTTGGATTCTCTTTAACACCTGGAATATTGGTGACTCATTTTTCTGTTCGACGTTTTGGGATAATTTTGCAGGCAATACAGTTAGACCCTTAAATTGTAGCCTCACGGAAAGTGATCGTTTAGAGGCTGCTGTTTCTGGCCACAAGTCTTCAATAAGTGCAGCTCATGGGTACATGGTTATTTCTTATCAATTGTAGTTCCGAATTGGGGCTTTTGACAAGTAACTTCTTTTTAATTTTTAGATATTTTCTGCTGACGTCACAAGTTTTCTAAACATTTTAGATGATTATTATGCAGAAATGCTGGAGAGGCCCCCAGTTCTTATTTTCATCCATACGTTCAAGAGAAGGTGTCGCATTTCTTGGATGGAAGGCTTTTAAGTAACTACATACTTGGATCTAGTGGTAAAGTTTTTCATGCTACTTGGTATGCATTGAATTTGTCATGATATTATTTTACTTCACAGATTTGATTGGGGGAGAGATGTCACGTTGGCAAGCATCCTCCAATGCTGGCGTCTGCTGTGATCATGAATACCAGGGTTTAGAGTGCAATGACGTGGGTTGCCAATCTGGTGGATTTAATCCGAAGCAGCTAGTCAATAAAAAAATAGCTGAAATTATGAAGTTGTCTCCAGAAGATGAAATTGAAGGAGAAATTATATTTTATCAGCATAGATTACTCGCAAATGCAGTTTCAAGAAAGCAGTTCACTGGTATTTTAACTGTTCTCTTAATCTTCAATGTGATGCTGGTCTGTCCTCATTACTCTTATTTCCCCCTCTTTCATGAGGATTAGAAAGCACTTAAAATGTCATAAATGACTAACAAACTAAAGAAAAAACAGTAATGACTGATGAGGATAGACCAATAGTATCAGCATAGCTTCCTCCCACATCAACCAAAATATATGACTTCTACATACCTGTATAATCATGTTAATACACATTTTTCAAATCACGTCATTAATCAATTAAACAATTGACAAAAAAATGAAGACTTATTTTGTAACTCCTTTGGATGGAGATGACCTAAATTGGTTCTCATAAAAAAAAAAAGTTAACAATAAAATGTTTATTTCTTGAAAGTCGAAGGACTAAAATAGATATTTTAAAATTTAAGGTGAAGACCATAACATGTTTCTTAAAATTTCAGAGACTAAAATATATATTTTAGTAGTGACTAAAAATATAAACAATTGATAGCAAAACAACAGCTAGAACTGTAATGTTTATTTTTTAGAAGCTTATGGACTAAGACTGAAATGTACCTGAAAGTTTGGGGACTTAAAAGTTTATCGTCCGATGCCTGTTTACTCTCCAATGAATTACTGCATGTTATTTTCAACCTTTTCTTTCTAATCTTTGACTCTTCCTACAAAAGAGGAACACTGGAAAGCTTCCTCTGGAACTGAGTTTGTGTTCTATGTAATAGTTTTTGTTTGAATGGTTATTGCAGATCATTTAATCTGTAGTGTTGCTAAGAGTCTTCCTAAGGAGATTGATGAAGCAAGAAGTACGAGATGGGATGCTGTGCTCATTAATCAGTATTTTAGTGAGCTTAGAGAAGCAAAGAAACAGGGTAAGAAAGAGAGAAGACATAAGGAAGCACAGGCTGTACTAGCTGCTGCGACTGCTGCTGCTGCAGCCTCTTCTAGGATGTCATCATTCAGGAAAGATGTATATGAAGAATCTACTCATAGAGAGGTTTTATGATGATTTGATCTGAGGCTCTTTACTTCACTTTGATGCCTATCTGTAGAGAAATGACTGATGATGTAATGTTTGGCTATTGTTCTCAGTTGATGCCTCGTGCAAAAGAAACACTTACAAAGGTTGCTCTCCCAAAGACTTCATTAGAGTCGGACTTCAGTAAAGAACATGCTAGATCCTGTGATATCTGCCGGCGGCCAGAGACAATATTAAAGCCAATTTTAGTCTGCTCTAGTTGCAAGGTTTTTTCATACTATATCTGCATACTTCTGTAAAAAAGGAAAAAGTATTACATTTGATTGACAGATGGTGCTTATAGCAGGTTGCGGTACATCTGGATTGCTATTGCGCTGTTAAAGAGTCCTCAGGTCCATGGTGTTGTGAATTATGTGAAGAGTTATCATCATCAAGAGGCTCTGGAGCTCCAGTTGTCAATTTTTGGGAGAAATCATATTTTGTTGCAGAATGTGGTCTATGTGGTGGCACCACAGGTGCATTCAGGAAATCATCTGATGGCCAGTGGGTCCATGCCTTCTGTGCAGAGGTAAAACGGTCTTGGGAAATGTTAAGGAACCTGCTTATTTTATGTTGTGCAATATTGTAAGATGCATTTTCCCCGCCCCAAGGGGTTGGGGTCTTCTATTGAGGATTTGGATTGATGTGTTTTCAATTAAAAAACAAATCTCTTTATAAATCCTATTTAAATATGCATTAATTTGAGTATACCTAATGTATTATCTTGTAGTGGGTCTTCGAATCAACTTACAGAAGAGGACAAGCAAATCCTGTGGTAGGAATGGTATGTAAAAGTGGAATGTGCTATATTTTACTATTTGATTATATTTGTTGATGTATTTTTGTCAGTTAATATTTATTTGCGTGAGACCTGGTACGATGGTTTATTTAAATCTTAAATCATACCTTTCTTGATGGAATTCCAGGAGACGGTTTCAAAGGGGGTGGACTCTTGCTATATTTGTCACCGCAAACATGGTGTCTGTTTGAAGGTCTAACCAACTTGGTTTTGCTCAATATGCCCGTTCTGAAATAATAGTAGTGTAGGAGTTCCTGTTTTCATCACTATTTGCTTTATTGGATATTGTGATGGTTGAAGTACCTTCTTTCATCGTCTTCAGTGCAATTATGGTCATTGTCGGTCCACTTTTCATCCTTCGTGCGCTAGAAGTGCTGGATGTTACATGACTGTAAAGACTTCTGGTGGTAAGTTGCAGCACAAGGCATATTGCGAAAAGCATAGCTCAGAGCAGAGAGCAAAGGTTTATACTCTGTCTTGTAATGATTTATATACTTACTACATGCAATTGTGACAACTGACGTTAGAATGAACATGGACAGGCTGAGAACCAAGCACATGGAATCGAGGAGTTGAATAGAGTCAAGCAAATTAGGGTAACTCTATTTCCACTCTAATAATTGCTTATGAACTTACCTTGCTGTATTATTTCTGACACGATGCTTATGCCTCTCTTAAGATCACACTAGGGTGGAGTTTATGATTTTTTGATATATTATGCTGGATCAGATGATTAACCATTTTTCTAAACTATTATTTTTGTAATTATTTTATCCATTACATTTAATTTACCTCTCTGTACAACATCCATCTATAGAGGCCAGTTGAAGAACACCCTGCATTGACCAAATACTGTGGGACGAGATGGCATGTTCAAACGTTGAAATGTTCTATATTCTACGTTTTAGAATTTGTATAAAACATGAGAAAATAAAACAAATACACTTGTGTCTTCAATGAAAAAATTATATTTGAAGAGCTTCCATCATCATGTCATAACCATTTATTATTTTAAAATGATATTATTCTTTAAGTAATTATTAATTATGAAACCAATTTCGTTTGGTTTCTATGTAGTCCATTTTCTTCTTCATGGTATTTGTAGCATCTAATTCGATTATTTTTTATTTCTTTGACCTCCAAGCAGTTGTATTGTGGGTTTCCAAAACCCTTGGGCCTACGTGCTTGCGAGATCTAAATATGTTTCCTATGATGTGGAGCCCCCAAGTGGTGGCCTCGTTGGCAAGGACTTGGGGTCTCTTGGTTATATTAGCTTAGAGGTCTCAAGTTCGAATCTTCAAGTGAGGTTAATACAAAAAATCATTCGTGTCTCTCGAGTATGGCCTTGGGGTGGGTGCGAGTGCCCCCGAGTATAGGAGAGCAAAATTCCAACTCCTTAATTATTAAAAAAAAGGTTTCCTATGATGTCGAAACGGAAGGACTTGTTCTCGAACTGTGTATTTCTGATTTGGAAATAACAATAGGCCTTCAAAACATAACATTTCTTTGGTTGTGCAATGTGCAGTTGAGATCAGATAGTGGTGGTTGAGGGGTGCTTCTAGAATATAAATTCGTCTTTTTGTTATTCATACTGGTGGCTAGTGCGCATGTCTAAATTGCACATTTTACTATCATTTACATGCTATGCCTCTTGTATGATCTTTGTCGCTCATGTCTTATACTTGCTTATATCTGAAATCAGGCTATAATATTTCTTACAATAGATGTTGAACTATAGAGTATTTTTGAATTCTCATTCTTTTTCTTTGGCAGGTTGAACTAGAGAGGCTACGCCTACTCTGTGAAAGAATCATCAAGCGTGAGAAGATTAAGGTATGTCATTTTTAACTAACAAACTAATTTCTTTCTGACGTTTATATTTTGTCAATGGGTAATACCGATAGAGAAAAGCGAGTGCTTGGCTGCAGCTGCAGGACATGACTGTACTAGCTTATTGTTAGTTCATGAATTTGTGAGCTTGTCTTGGCCTTCAAGGTGTGGTTGCTCTATTGGTTGAGTGCTTGGGGCTCGGGGCTGTAATGTATGGGATCTTGGGTGGATTAGTGGGATTGGGTCCAATACCACTGTTATTAAAAAATGAAAAAGGAATTTGTGGAATTTTTAAAGATCTCCCGACTGGAATGCTTCCATATGGCATTCTTTGGGGAATATAAGTTCCTTCTAACTGTTTTGTAGGGTTTTTCTACATTATATGTGAGGATCTTTTTTGTGTTTGCAGAGAGACCTGGTTCTTTGCTCACATGATGTCCTTGCTTTTAAAAGAGACCATGTAGCCCGATCCGTACTAGTTCAAACTCCTTTCTTCCTACCTGAAGTGAGTTCTGAATCAGCAACCACATCCTTAAAGGGGCATGTGGAAGATTTAAAATCGTGCAGTGAAGCTGTGCAGAGATCAGATGATTTAACTGTGGATATCACAGTTTCCATCAAGCACTGGAATAAAGTACCGTTGCCTTTGGACACCGAACAAAAGACTGACGACGACAGTTCCACATCTCAAAACCTGTTCTCCAGAAAATTTGCAGAGAGGGCTCAGTTTTCTGGGAAGCAAATACCTCAGAGATCTTCTACTACATCACGTCATCTTTTAGATGTTGGAGGATTGAGGTTCAAGTCCAGAAAGGTACAGAATTAAAATTCCCTCCTGCTTGCTTAATATTTACCCAAACAGAGGATGTAAATTTAATTATGTGCATGATCCTGACTTGGATATTATAAACCATAGCATGCCGAAACATTTCAGAAAGAGCTAGTAATGACGTCAGATCAAGCATCAATGAAGAACTCTCTTTTGCCTAAGCAGTACCTGTATGTTCCTGCTGATGTCCTTGCCAAGGAGAAGCAAGTCAACCAGGAAACAGGTTCCGCCGAGCCACCGAAATGCGACAGGTAGTCTGAGAAGGCATTTCTTGTGTTTCAGATTTCCAAATTGGAGGCCAAACATCCATATGCCTCAGGGACCCATATCCTGCTCAGAAACCGAGTCTGAGAGCGAGTGACATGGTGAACGGAGAAGAGCAGGGGAATGCTGGGATAGACTCGGGCGGGGCGCCAGGTTTTGAGTTGGGCATCGGAAGTTTTGGCATGGCAGATGTACATTCAATGTTGAGAGTAATTGTACAGGTGGGTGGGAGCCATGGTTAAACGTTGCAATGGGGACAGAGTGAGTTTTCCACATCTTTGAGATTTGTTTTCCTGGTGGGTAAAGTCGAATTTTTAGGTGTTAGCTATTGTGTGTACGAGGAGTTGGGAGGGAAAAAAAGGAGAGAATTGTTGCTGTGATGCTGCTGCCACTGTAAAGTTGGTGTATAATTGATACGCAATCAATCATTCTGTCCATCCTCTTGAAACCAACTCGACCCTCTCTTCTAAATGGAACAATAATGCTCAACGCTCATTTATTAGATTAGGAATTTTGTAAATTGCAGAGACTAATTTGGTCTAAGTTTTTCGTTAGTTTCGAGGTTTGCCAGCAATTAGATGTCAGGTGGCCGCATTTATGAAAGAAGTATTTAATTTGGACAAGAGGCGTTACGTTATGGCCTTTTCAATCCATCTTGATTTGACCATGTAAAATATGGTTTTTTTTTCTCTATTTAAAATTAATTTGAAGGTTAAATTATAAGTTTCAGTAGTTGTGCATTCTTTGAAAGTTAGTGTTTGTTTTAGAACTTTTTAACAGGTTTTTGAATTTTCAATTTTGAATCTAATAAGCCATTAAGTTTTTAATGTTCATGCATTTGACACTTTGACTCTTATCATGTCAAGCAATTTCAAACTTTGATATAAATAGATACCAGCTCTAAAATTTTAGGGACCATAATCTCTCTAAAAATATTGAACTTACAACTTAATCATTATTTTTATTTTATTACACTTTATATTATGTAATACTATGGGAAAATTTATAGTGCTGTCGTAAATATTTGCTACTTCTGTTCATGGCGAGTTATTCTTAACTGATTAAAGTATTATAACCTTGATCAAAAGATAGAAAGATTCATGTATTACTCAACAAAAAAATAATACTCTCTGTTCACACTGTGAATTTTCTTTCGTAAATTTTTTAAAATATTTTTTGGATTCTATATAATAATGCTAATGTTACTAATAGTAGCTGAGAGGAGTACCTGAATGTATTATTTAGAAAAATTTCCCAAGATATATTAAAAATTTATAACTACTTAAATCAGTTTGGTTTAATCCGGTCAACGATTATTCAATTTTCCCAAGAGCAGTATCGGACCGGACCGTAAGCTGAGGTAAACTGAAAAGAAAAAAAAGAACATTTTTTTCTTTTTAACAATGAAAAAAACAGTGAAGAGGATTTGTGTGTGTTTTTATATTTATTATTATTAAAAAATCTGCCCAATATATTTCGAAGGAGAGTTTTTTTTTTCTTTTAATTTAAAAAATAAATAAATAACGAAAAAAAAGAACGCCGCTGCCGTCTGCGACGGTTTCCGTGCTCTGCCTCTGCCTGCGAACCCCGGCCCATACGAAGCTCCAAGCTAGCGATGGGCTCGATAGACGTCCAATCAACGAATGCGGAGAATGGATCTGCCGCCGCTTCTGCTGATGCTCGTCAAAAGCCAGTTGCCGCCGACGCTGTGACCCAGACATCCAACGAACCAGACGGAACGCCGCCCGAGAAACCTAAAGAATTGGGACCGACGAAGAAGCGTATCTCCTCCATGCTTCCTCTGGACGTCGGAACCCGCGTCATGTGCCGCTGGAGGGACGGGAAGTACCATCCCGTCAAGGTCATCGAGCGTCGGAAGTTGCAGGCAACTGGTTTTAGTGATTACGAATACTATGTCCATTACACCGAGTGTAAGCTACTCTTCTGCTCTGAAGTTTGCATTAGTATGTAGGTATTTGATTTTGCGTGGTGGAAGAATGAAGCTGGAATGAGGAAACGAGAGATGCTTCTTTTTGGTCCCCAAATTTGTTTAATTTGCTGTTTAGGGTTCGTTTGATGAATTAGGGCTTATTCGCATTTGGTCAATTTAGGAAGTACGACCTTTGGATTGAGTGAGACAAGTAGCTTTTGCAGCAATGAGATTTTACCTTCTCGTTCATGGACCGTTTAATTGACAGAACTCATGGGTGCACCATATTTTTCTTTAACCGTAGTGTTCGTAGCTAAATTAAACAGTCTCTTCTACGTGGAGTTTGGGGTTTTCTTTCTCCTTAACTGGATTTTGTGACAGTCAATAGGAGACTTGATGAGTGGGTGAAGCTTGACCAACTTGATCTCGATTCAGTTGAGACGGTTGTTGATGAGAAAGTGGAGGACAAGGTAATTTTTCTTTCCTCTCTCTTTTTTTTTTTAAGTTCAACCAGTCCACTTCTGAAGTATCGTCACTGTTGTTGCTTGAAAAAACTTTAAGGTTATCTTTGGGCATGGCTTGGTCCTTTTGGAAGCCACGTCTTACTTGCAAGCACTAATGTAACTTTATTCCTGCACTTGAAGGTGACGGGATTAAAGATGACCCGACACCAGAAGCGGAAGATTGATGAAACACACGTTGAGGTATGTATTTTTTAGGATGTTGTGGCTAGTCCTTTGTTTAAGATCCTTTATGTTAATATAATAGCTTGAACAACTAATTGATAAGTAGTCTTTTATTGAGATACCTATTGTTGGATTTGAACCTACCATGCAGAATGGTTTAAACAAACAAAATTATGAGCTACCATGCAGATGGGATTAGCATAAGAATTTTAGCATTGTCTAGCTCCTTTCTCGGCTTTCAGTTTTTCGATAAATAAATATTTCCTTATTCATTCTAGCAAACACCTTCAAGAGCTCACTTCCAGTGTCAAATGACTAATATGCACTTAATAGCAATCCTATCATCACTCTGTCCCTCTTTTGGCGAGGCTTGTCACCAGTAGTTAGTCATCTCTTGTCAACGATTCTTACTTGAAAACTTTTATTCCTCCAGTAATCCTATTTGGATTACTTTCTCGCAAGGCTTCGGAATTCATGTTGGAGTTAATTCCGAAAGTATCCTTGCAAATTGTCTACTTACACTATCCAATCTTGTTGCCATCAACTTGCTCTTTATCTTCTCCTTCTGCACATATAAGAACTAGACTACATGGGTGTTTGATAGTAGTCGGTAAAAACATTCCTTGTCACACCCACTAAGTGTAGATGTGGGGGCAAGCATCAAACTCTCGTCAGTTGTAGGTAATTCTGGTAGATGGTGAGTGAAAAATGCTGATTTTGAGATGGTGTCATATTAAATTGGAGCTTCCTAAAAACTCTTCCCTGTCTTCATTATGAAATGATGTCCTTTTTTCCTTTTTTACAATCGAATAGGGCCATGAGGAACTTGATGCTGCCAGCTTGAGGGAGCATGAAGAATTTACAAAAGTGAAAAATATAGCAACGATTGAACTTGGAAGATATGAGATTGAAACATGGTATTTCTCCCCCTTTCCTCCAGAATACAATGACACCACGAAACTCTATTTTTGTGAGTTTTGTCTCAATTTCATGAAGCGCAAGGAACAGCTCCAGAGACATATGGTGAGATGTGCTCCAAATTCTGTCGTGTTGCTTATGAATGAGAATGAACCAGTATGTTTGTAAATAGAATTTTGAATTGTTATTTTGGACCATACGCGAACCCATCCAGTGTTGATTGCTGATATTGTTTTTGGAATATCAATTTAATCTTTGTGGAAGAGTGTACAAGTTGCATCTTTTCATTGTTTCATGTTTCAGACCATACAAACCATCTCAATTTTTGTGCTTTGTCCATGTAGAGGAAGTGCGATCTCAAGCATCCTCCTGGTGATGAAATATATCGAAGTGGTACTTTGTCAATGTTTGAGGTATGGTCTTGGTCGGATAGGTTTTCAATCTTTTGGCTTGTTCATGTTGCAGTTGTGCACCTCGTTCTTTTATTATCTAATTTATCATCAACATTCCTTATTCATTTATTATTTGAACTGAAAGTAGTTCCATTTTGGTTTTCTGGTTTCTTTTCTTATTGGTTGTGAACGTCATTGGGGGAATTTCTTCTGCATTTTAACAGTTCATGCAACCGTGACATTTCCTCTACTCACATTGTGTGAGAGACTCAAACTCTGTTTTAAATTATAATTGAAGTAATAATCCCATTCTCCTTTTAACCTGTCATAAACGATAATGTACTTGAAGCTATAAGTATAGGATGATGATTTCATTATTGTAGACTAGAAATTCTGTCATATAATTTATTTTCTGCTAACTTTTTGTGGAAACAGGTTGACGGAAAAAAGAACAAGGTTTATGGGCAGAATCTCTGTTACTTAGCAAAGTTATTTCTGGACCACAAGACTCTATATTACGATGTTGACCTTTTTCTGTTTTATGTCTTGTGTGAGTGTGATGATCGAGGGTGTCACATGGTTGGATATTTTTCAAAGGTAATTTTTGATTCAGTATAACTGCTTTCCAATTAAAGTTGTATGATTCTGGTAGAATAAAACTATTATTACTATTATTTTTTTATTTGGAGGGGTTGGGAGGAGAAAACATCGTTGTCAGCCAAAAAGGGACTTTGAAAGACATAAAATTCTTGAATAGGCTTGAATTTGAAAGGTTGTTTTATTATGAAAAAAGTTACAGTAAGGAGCTCCATCTAGGAGATAGAAAAATAATAAAATGGGCCAAAATATAAGCATCTAAAAATCTCACGTATTTACTTCAATCTAAATAGACCATACTGTAGCTGCGCTTACGCAATTCTGTAGTCTTTTAGGTTTGTTCCGAAAGCTGTGACCTGAGAAAGCTTGAATGAAGTAGTCCTGGATATTATTTAGGAAATCACTATTGCATATTAGAGAGCTGAAAATCTTAAGCCCATGGTCCTTGAGAAATTGTTGCGAAGGAAGAGATGGTGGTGAGTACCATCATCTTGAAAGCACCTATAAGGTGATAAACACGAAAGAGACATTTCTTTTGAGTGATTTCAAGGGAATTACAGTTAATCATTCCAAGAACGAGAGGAAAGGTGCCTGTTGTCTTCTGGTTGATTTGTGGAAAACATGCTAGACTTTTTCAAGATCCCAGACTCTTAACACCATCCTTTTGTCTTCTGGTTGATGAATCTCATCTAAGTTCCTAAGTATAGAAATCTACTCTCTAGTTTCAAAATCAAGTTAGGTCCATCCCGTAGTATTTCTGATCTTTGGGCTATTGGGGATGGATATTGGATATTTTTGAGCTTAGTGTTTCATTGAAGATCCATTTACCTTTCCAAAAGTTAGTCCTTCTGCCATCCTTCATTTTTGGTGGAGTTTGCAGGGCTAGGTATGAAGGAGTAGGGCTACCCGAGCATGCCCTTTTTTTAGAGGGAATAAACGATTCAAATAATGTTGGTTTAAAATTAATTTATCTGATCTGCAGTATACACGCCATTTTGATACATGATATACTTTCTAATCCATGCTTTAGTCATTTCTTTTCTCTTTGGTGGGCCAGTGGATGTTTTAGTGGTGATAGTGAGTGGCATAAAAATAAATGAAAATCATCTTATGGAGATAACGGAATGTAAGATGGATGGATTTACAAGCAGCTGGGAACAACTTTAGAACTTCGCATTTCTTTTCAAGTGTTTGGAATTAACATGGAATTGTTTTTGTGACCATATTTATCTCTCGGTGTGCAGGAAAAGCATTCAGAAGAATCCTATAATTTGGCATGCATTCTCACCCTTCCTCCTTACCAAAGGAAGGGCTATGGCAAGTTCTTAATAGCTTTTTGTAAGTCCACATACATTAAACTAGCTCTATTTTTTGACTAATTGTGTCGTCAACTAGCATGCTTGATGATGACTTTACTTGATAAGATTTGTTCTATATGTTGTACAACTGTGCTCTTGAGTTCTAAAACTAGCATTCTTGATGATCTCGGTTTTCTAGCATTGAAAAGTTTAGTTTGTTATTTTAGTCGGAGAGTCCACATCTTTTATTTTCCTGTCTTCATTACACCATGTTCTAATGGAGATTTTTATTCTTTTATTCACCTGGGAGATCAGCTTATGAACTCTCCAAGAAAGAAGGTAAAGTTGGCACACCTGAAAGACCTCTTTCTGACCTTGGCTTGGTGAGCTACAGAGGATACTGGACCAGGGTTCTTTTAGACATCTTGAAAAAGCACAAGGGCAATATCTCTATCAAGGTTAGCAATTTTGTCTCTTACCGAAATTCAGGGTTGAAAATTTTATACCCAATCATGGGCTCATTCGTCATCCCTTTATTGCAGGAGCTAAGTGATATGACAGCCATCAAAGCCGAAGATATTTTGAACACACTTCAGAGCCTAGAGTTGATTCAATACAGGAAAGGGCAGCATGTTATATGTGCCGACCCCAAGGTTCTCGATCGACATCTCAAAGCTGCTGGTCGTGGGGGCCTAGAGGTCGATGTTAGCAAATTGATCTGGACTCCATACAGAGAACAGGGTTAAAGCTTTGCAAACTCATTATTAAATCTCACGGTAACCTAACTCTGCATGTACAATAATAGTCTAGAATTTTAGCATGAAGCATTACCGCTGCCATGTCTATCTTATTATTAAATCTCACGGTAACCTAACTCTGCATGTACAATAATAGTCTAGAATTTTAGCATAAAGCATTACCGCTGCCATGTCTATCTTATGAATGTAAGCCTGGACAAATCAATACTGAACTCATTGAAATGACCAATGGTAGAAATCCAGATCTTGTACATCACCAGTTGCTGTATTATATCTGACCCTTGACACTTGCACTTTCTATTATGAAGTCCTGAATCGGGTTTGTTTGAGAAGAAGGGTACTTTAAGTGATTATTCGCGACCTTTTAGAACAATTTTTTTCCCTTTTTACAATGAAAACGTATTTGTATAGTGTCATTTTCATATACTGGTTCGGTGTTCTCCAAATTAACTTTAAATTTATGAGCATCACCAGTAGGAATAAGATAAAAGATAATCTCTCAGGAGCTCTCTTTTTTAAACACAATTTGATTGGGTATTGATACACGACAACTCTGGACAATCAAGTGACTAGTCACTAAAATTCGTTCTAGTTCGTACAAGTGGTTCAACTCGAAAGGGAAAAGTTAGATGGATTGCCCCTTAGATGGTTGAATACCAGGAGTAGATAGAATTATCATTATGCGACCGAAACATTCCACAAGTTTGATGAATAATGAAACTTGAATACTTCACAGTAATGCATCAAAGGAAGACACTTTTATTCAACAATTGTAAATTGCATCAAGATTTTAAGGGAGCCTATTTATAGGCGAAGACCATGGCTGATACAAGGGGAAAATAGGACAAAATAAAATCCTAAAATTAAGGAATTAAAAATTAAATACTAAACAATTTTCCTTAAATCGAAAATATGCTGGTCTAAAATGCTAAAATGAATTACAAAAACTAATTCTTCAAACAAATAAGGAAAGTATTTTCCTTGAACAACAAAGGTGGATAGGGCATCCCCTTGACAACAAGCAAAGGGCGTAGGCAGACCAGGGCGTGTACAGACTAGCGTGCGCGTAGGGGCATGCGGGCATGGGTGCTGGCAATGCACGAGTGCACGTGCGGAAGTGGCACTTGCACTGACACCGGGGCCATGGGCAGACATGGGTGCTAGACAGGGGCATTGGCGCATAGGGCTAAGCAATAGTGTGGGCGTGGACGTATGCTTGCAAGGTTAGCGAGCTGTGCATGCGGTTGGGCGTGTGCGATGGGTGGCCATCATATGCATGCAGTTGGTCCTTCTCTTTGACATAGGAATTTTCTTGATTCTTCTTCCAGCTCTTTGCCCTTGGTAACTTAGCTCTTGTTGACCTTTGAAAATCTTCAAAATATGCTTATGAGTACACTGAGTTCTCTTCCTCTCTGGAGCCACCATAACTTGTGCATGCCTCTTCTTGATATTTGGTAGATCAAAAAAGTTGTTGCTAATTATAATCGTACCGATAAGCATTCAACACCTTAAATTTCGTTCAATAACAATTTTTTAAAAAATGAGGTTACTCTCAAATCATGTTTGTTCTTAGATGTTGATTAAGATTACAAAGGAAAATAGAAGGTTATTTTCTAAAACAACTATCAGGCACAAAGCCAGAGTTATCCAGTAGCTCCCATAGCTTACGTGGCAAGTGGACAAAAATATTAAAGCAGTAGCAGGCAGCAGGAGCAGCCCAAATGTCCACGCCCCCAAAAAGAAAGAGCCCTGTTTGGTGAAAGCAGAAAAAGGATTCTTTTCTGATCAAATTTTCTTTGGAAAATGGAGCAGATTTTTCTGCACAACACTCATGTAGTAAAACAAGTCCAATGGCTGCATCTTGGAATTGGGAGAGATAAAACAAAATTGTCAATGTTAGAACATATCTGCCACTTTCTTCAGATCTGATGCGTTTCAGGTGCAAGAATTTAGAACGAACACGTCACTCAAAATTGGAACTTGTAAAAAATTTATGAACATTATGATTTATGAGTAACAATCACATTGTCGCCGGCTCCGGCGCCTGTGATTGAGACACAACCAAAACTAGAAACAAAACTAAAGAGAACAGATCATTTACACAACACTCCGTTGAATCTTTGATGAATTTGTGAGCTACCCACTTCAATTTTCTCATCAAATAGTCGTGATCTGAAGCCGATGCTTTGGGATGTGGATTGGCTGAATCTGTAAGCTCTGTAATACGGTCCCGCTGGACCTCCTCTTCCAGAGATTGTTCGTTTCACCCCTTTCTTCTCCGGCCTTCTGCACTCGCCGGACCACCGGCAACGGCGGATCCAAATCCACAACGCTAAACGAATTGCAATTCCCATTTCTAGAAACATCCTTCTTACCCGAAATTGCGCAGTTCGGCGCCGCCCTTCTTCTACTGCCACAACCGTTGGCGGCGGCCGTAGACACCGACGCGGCGGTGGGGGCGGCGGACCTGGCGGAGGCTGAGGGGGAAGCCAAGAGATTTTTGCTGGAGAAGAATTTCTTCAACTTGAAATACCCAACATTGGCGTTATTTCCCTTCCTGTTGTTGAGGACGGCATTTTTGGTGGTGATCAAAATTCTGTGGGAAATCGGAAGACCGGCGACTCTGTTATTCCGCTTAACTTGACCCAAACACCCAATTCTCGGCGATAAAGGGTCGCCAGAAAATGACTCCGATCGGTCTCGGTCGCATTTCGGCTGCCGGCCGTCTTTGATAGCCGGCTTCGAACAGAGCATGGGCAGAAACACGCTTTTCTGGCGAAGATTCTTGGGGTTGAATCGATTGTATCTGTCACCCATTCTAATTTCTGCTTCTTCAAATGTCTGAGAGAAAAAAACAGAGCTTGGAGTTGGAGCTTGATGCAAAACAATGGCTTCTTCAGAATCTTGATGCTGCTCTGTTCAGTAGAGATATGGGTTTATTGGGAAGTCAACAAAAATGGGTACCAAATTCTTGGCGGTGTTTCTGAGTTAGAGCTAAAAAATGGCTGGAAATTTGTCAAATATGAACAACGTTTTGATTGAGTCTTGGCTTTTGCCCGTTTATTATTGCTGTTTTGGAAAGTAGTTAAATATTCCAAATGTAAATGTCTGGCTCCGAAATTTGTAGAAACTTTTGAGGGTAATTTGGATAAAATGCCCATATTAATACAAATAGCTTTATCCTGATTATTATTATTAGTCTCGTTGTCAAGTCAAATATTAGAATTAATAGAATGGTGATATGACATGTCATTAGATTAATTTTAACTAGTTAACTAAATTCAGTTTGATTTCTAAAAAAAAAAATAGGAGTTGCATTGGTCATAGGCTATAATGTTGAAATAAATATTCATATCAATATAAATGGCTTCACCCGCGATTGTTACTACTCTGGTTGTCAAGCCAAATATTAGGATTAATAGAAGGGTGATATGACATGTCATTAGATTAATTTTAGCTAGCTAATTAAATTCGGTTTGATCTCTCGGAAAGAGGAGTTGCATTTGTTTCTATAATGTAGAATACATTAAGAATGTTACCCAAAAGTCTATGCCTCAAAATCTTAGCATCCACGAAACAATTGATGGATCTTTACCAATTTTCTAACGTTCGATTTTAGACAAGTCAAAAACTATAAACATTAAGGTATGATAGGGTAAACAACAGAGAACAAGTTGATGGGTATTATGTTACTCCAACGTCTTGCTAATTGTGCTAACGATTGAGACAAAACAAATATAGTCTTTGTATGCAATATCAAATCATTTTAATTTGTAGAAATATCAACATGCCGATGATAGTGACGAGAGAGAGGAGGGTCAAAGATTAACAACCAAAAAGGTGGGAATGGGATAGGGGCAAAGATGGAATTGGGTTGGTTTGGTGGTGTGTGGAAATTTGGTTAAGTTGAAGCAAAGTGAAGGAGGCATCTTTAATAATTAGTGGTCCTCTCTCTTTCTTTTTCTTTTACACAATCAAAGCAATTCAATTCAATTTGATCCATGCCAATGCCAATGCCAACTTCACACGCTATTGCCATTTACTTTGCTAAATCATATGCCTTTGTCTCCTTCACTTCACATCTTACCCAAAAAGAAAGAAAAAAAATCCTCATTTTCATTTCTTTTGTTATCTCTTTCCAACCCACATAATTAAGCCCATTTTTTTAATTAATATTGCTCCACTATCAATGAAATTCTATTTTGTAACTTAGTGTTAAAAATGACAAGTTGAGCTACAAATTTAATTTTGAGATCAAAGATCTATTAGACACAAATTTAAAAGTTAGTCTAATAAGTCTCTAAAGTTTTAAAAATTGACTTATTAGACACAAATTGGAAGTTCATGATGGGGTTTGTAAAGTTTAAAAACCTATTATATACGATATTGAAAGTTTGGGAATTAATTAGACATATTTAAACTTAAATGACTTATCTTACGTAATTCTGAAGACTCATAGACAATCGTATCTATCAAGTATAATATCTAGTTTCAAAATGGGTGGATCAAGATTTTTTTTTTTTAATGCAATAGAAAGATATATAGAGAAAAACTAAAACATGTATATATTAAACTTCATAGAGGAAAAGAATTAGAAGTTTTTTTTTCCAAAGCGAGCATAACTCAATAGTAATTGACATAAGGTTGTGAGTTCGATTTTCTACCCTTATATGTTGTATTTAAGAAAAAAAAATCTTTTTTTTAATAATTTTTTTTCCTTTTTTGTTAATTACCTTACCTCAACTTAATTCTTAGTAAATTACATTGTACTCACCAATCTCGCTCAATCTCAAAATCTGAAGTTAATAGAAGAAGAAACAAAGATCCAATTTTTGAAGTAATTTTTTTAACCAATAAATAGTATCATGGAGATTATTTAAATAAATTTAAAAAAAAAAAGTATTTTGATGGAGACGTATTTTGAAAGTGGTCAAAGGGTAGGAGAAGAAAATACTTCCACGAGATTTAATTAAGTATAATTGTTTTTTTCTCATCTTACAAGAGCTAAGTATTTGACTTTGTCCCATCGCTGACACGTCTAAAACACACGCTTATTAGAACGTTTTATTAAGTTACTCGTAATCTTATTTAATTGTACCCAAAAAAATGTCTTATCTTAGTACGACTCGCTAAAAGGGGTATTTTATTTATTAAAAAAAAGTGACTTTTTTTTTCAAAAAATAATTTAAAATATATATTTTTTAGTTTAGCTTCTAGCTGTAGCTGCAGCTCCCTTTGCTTCGAGGCCGGATTGTCAGAAGTGGCCCCCCGTCCTACAACGTACCGAACATCGACGAACTTCCCACAACAGCCGTCCGATTCGAATCACCGTCCCACAATCAAGATTTGTCAGAACAATATCGGCCAGCCACGTATGCAACCTCCAAACACGTGGCCGGATCCTATCAACCACTGATTGACGGCAGGGTCAATGCCACGTCAGAGGTAGAGCATATGCAGGTCACGTGCGATAGGCAATGGCGACAACGGAAGCATGTGAGCACGTGGGAGGCACGCTAAAGTCGCGGTATCCCAAACTCCATTACAAGCATTTTAACTTCTTTTCTCTTTTTTTTTGGGTATATAATTATTTATTTATAAGAACTTTTTCATTATTAACTCTTTATTTATTATTTTTTTGTTTGACCATTTGGCCGCACATCTTGGAACAACCCATCATTTTTCCTTTATGCTTCAAACTACATTTAATTTTCATTTCAATCTCAAGACATTATTATAAACTTGTAAAATATATTACTTTAGACATTATTGTAAAAGTACGTACCAATCACTTTTTCGAGGATATCAACATCAAAATAGTTAATTCTTGAATCATTGATATCAATTATTTTATTTTTGACCAATTTGCATAGTTAATTAGTTGGCGCACATGTGAATCCAACTTCAATCTGAATTTATCATATTCGATTAATGGGTGGTTCTCATTTCATATTTATATAAAACAAATTATAAACTCGGTCTAATAAAAGAAAAAAAATAAATAGTCATAGTTTCAAATGACACCATTATGTGGTTTAAAAAATGGGGTTTTCAAACACTTGTGTCAATTAGTATAAAAGTATCAAAATTAGTTTCAATGAGATTGATACACATGATATACATAGAATAAGTCACCAGCAGTAATTCAGTATATTAAAAAAAAAAAAAAAACAGTAAATCTTACATTACAGATAACAGCAGTGTCTAGGAGTTAACCAGTATGCAATTTTCCCGAAAAGAAAAAGAAAACAGAGGAGAATATCTCATGGGGATCAGTAGAGCAGAAAATTTAGCAGAAAACGCCAAAGCAGAAGAGGATGAGAAGCAAATAAAAAAGGCTTATTATTTGAAAAAGGCAACAGAAAATAGCAAGGCACATGTAAATGAAGATTTCCCAATCAAGCAAAGCAAAGCAAGCAGCCTTTTTTTTTTTGCATTTGCATTTGCATTTGCATTATTAGTGCTTTTGGTCCCAACAAAGATTTTGAAATGCAATAAAGTTTCAGAAAAATAATGGACATGTTTCCCTAATATGCATGTGTTAAGGGCAGTGGTAATAGTTGTAAAGCATTAAGACAGAGTTGGCTGCTTTTGTTTTTGTTTGGTCCTCCATGCTTTTTCTTCACTTACTTCATAATTGCTTATGTATCGCCAATTTTTTTCTCTTAATTCTCTCGTCCTCCTACCTTATTAACAAAATCTCATCTCATATCAAATGGGCAGCAGTTCGAAATGTTGGCTATAAAACACAGAAATTGTGCTAATAAACAGGCCTCTTTTTGGAAATAAAAAACTTAAGAGCATGTTTGACCCACGATATGGAACCTAGATTTATATAGATTCTGTATGGATACAATGGAAGAATTAAGTTATCAAATTTTTTTAAATCATATGGTCTATATTTCATGGTTGTGATCTATAAAAGTGGGTGTGTGTAGTCGTTGCATGGATTTATGTAGAACTTGGAATTAGCAAACTTGTCATTTAAGATAAATAAAACCTATAGGTCAAAGTAAGCTCGATTTCTTAATTCTAGACTATTCAAAACCATCCCAGAAACTAAGCATGCCATAAAACCATCCTGGTTTGATCTAGTAGTCCATCAGACCCCAAGTAAATAGTAAAGAGCTTAGAAGGAATGAGTTCAAACCATGGTGGTCACCTACCTAAAATTTAATATTCTACGAATTACTTAGGCAACCAAATGAGTTGGGTCAGGTGGTACACACGGATTTAAAAAAATAAAACCAAGCATGCCATAAATGGCTATTATCAAACAAACTCTGGGTAGTTTGACATGTACACACGGATTAATTTAATCACATCAATGTTGCAGAAATAATATTTTACTGCCATACATAAATAAAATAAAATAATTAAATGTAATTAAACGCACACATCAGATTATGAACGTTTTAGGTGTGAGTTTTAGATTTTGACCTTTCCATCATACCGAGTTTGAATATAAAGCAGAGGTCACAATCAAAGGGAAGAAAGGCTCCGACTTGGAAACCACTATCTATTTATAATAATTTTGCAGGCAACTAATCTAATAGCATTTTTTCCACGCCTAACTTATCACCAAACGCGATTTCTATAATCCCACTGCCCAGAGATTAACCATTATACTCATGCTCTGTCTTTGTCTTCTAGTTCTAGCTGACAATTCCCTTATTATTGAATAAAAGTTAAATCCACGCATGAGAATCTGAGATTAGTCTAGCTTTATGTCCAAAAATGTCCAATAAGAATGTAAATTATCAACATATATTTATATAAATTTAAATCTTTTCAAATTGTAAACTTATCAATGTGATCCTGAATGAAATTGCTACAATGATACAAGTGGAGGAAAAAAACAGAAACATACTTGTGGAAGCAAGCCAGGATGAAACTTTGATAGTCCGGCAGTCATTAGCTCGTCTTCGTGGGGAATTTTTGATTTCCTGTCCATTGCCAGATCCAAAATCAAGCTAAATTTCCATTATTGATCCTCCTTGTGATGGCTATCAACCTGCGATCCGATCCTACACGTGACAATTGCTTGTTGCCAATTCCTGATGAACAAAAGATTGAGAAAGCAAAGCAAGATAACTGGACCGAAAACATTTGACCGGTCCCGAAAGCTTTTTGAAGGTGCTAGGATTGGGGTATCTTGTCGTTTCCTTCATGCTGAAGTAGTACTACCTTGTCTTGTGGTAACCCTGATCCAACGCTTTCTTCTCCAAACAGTGAGATTCCATCTGGGCCATCAATTCTCTTATGTGTCTCTCCAGCTGACTCCTCATTTGACGTCACATCTCTAATACCTTCAGGTTCTTTGAAAGATTCAGGACGATGATGGGATTGCATTTCAGAATGTGACACAGAAACGGATGAAGTCGTCAGACTCAATCCTTTGGAAAGAGAAATGTACTTGAAAACTAGTTGTTTGTATTGACTGAGCAGCTCATCTACGTCATTGAATGTAAGATCCCCAACTTGGGCAAATAAATATGGATAATCTCTGAAGGCTTGCCTCCCTGTGTGATCGTTTAAAAGAATGGCTGCACCCTTATTCTCCAAATCTGAGAGCGATGGTTCTTCCATTACTGTCGACTGATCTTTGGCACATGATGCCTCAGTTCTGGGCTTTGCTTCTGCGGATTTGGGTATAACTGCAGGTTCAGTACCAACATTTGAAGCTTGAGAACTGGATTTTACAAGTCCTGAATTGCGGACAACCCCTTCATCCAAGTTACTTTTATTAGAGATAGCTTCAGCATCAGTAGAGAGACCAGATAGAAGTGCTCGAGCAGATTCCATCTTATTTTCAAACTCAATTTCATCCATTGAGAGGGCTTTTGCATCAATGTTTGAGATAAAGGACTCAGCAGAAAGTACGTTTGTGAAAAAATATGCTGCTTCTCCAGTTAATCGATTTTGTCCCCTGTATCGTTGTATATACAATAAATTTGAGTGCAGTTGTGGAGGGTTTGCCTACAAGAGATCGTGCATGAAAAACACATTTATGAGAATGGTGTGATAAATTCCCACATTTTATACCAAAATGACTATATAATAAAATATGACAGAGAATTTTGTGCTGTTTTTACCGCCAACTTTTCAGTTGAATTTCAATTAGAGATTATTAGAGATTTTCAGTGGCATTATATGAGGAGAAATCATATGCTCAAATGCTGACATGTAAGAATATATGCTCTAGCACAAACATTGCTTCATAAGTAATCACATTATTGAATACGAAAAAACTAATTTAAAGTAACCATATTATACATCACCTTTATGATAACATAAATAAGGACAGGAAGGAATTCATCAGCCCCGGGAGGATTCTCATTTGAAGCAACGGAAGCATTAATTAGTAAGTTACTGATGACCTTACAACAATTGAGGAGACACACAAGTTTGTCCCTTGGAGCTTTGTACATGTTAATCTTCAGGAGTTCTTTCTGAGCAAGCTGCAAATAAAAATGTAAACATGCATGTGAGACTTGTATTAATTATTAACAAAGATTCAGATGGTTGAAAATTCCTCATACTAAAATGCGAGTCATGACCTTGTTCAAAAAAATGAAAGTTTCGGTTATAAAATAGAAGACTTGAGAAACAAACTTTGAAGTAAAGAAACAATGTTGTCAGATAGGAGAATAAGAACTGGCCTAAGTTGAAGAAACTTTGTTCAAATCTCCATAGCAAGAACGCACCACCAAAGGTTTCATGTTTCCCTGA